GCACCGCGCTCAGCCAGTGAGCGGGAACCGGTCTCCACATGGGATCCGAACCCTCGGTGGGAGCGCCGCCACGCTCCCAAGTGGCACACTCTCCAGTGCACCACCAGGCCGGCCCAAAACTAAATATTTTTGAGATAACTGTAGCATTTATTCTTCATGGCTATGAAGAGTGGCTTTATTTCCCTGAAAAAAAAAAAAAACATAAAACATTTGTAAGTGACAAATATCCTGAAAAAAATTATAAGTAAAAGAACAAAACTCATGTTGTTTTTATTCTTAATTTCTGATGCTTTGCTTTAGAATTTTCACTTTATAAACCACTAATATGGTACTAAAGAACAAATAAACATGAATATCCTTGTTATTCTCCTGCTTCCTAGATGAAATCATAGTATTTTAGCCACTTACTTTTAGTAAAGGAAGTACATATTGCCTGTTGGGTCATGACTTAGGGAATGAAAAAAGTTTTTAAAAGAAGAATTGTAAAGAGAGGAGGATATAAGAAAAGACAAAAGAAAGCGGATGGAAGAGAGATGTTTATCTCTAGTGAAATCCTTGCCTTGTGTTTTGAAATTGTCATATTTCTGTATATATGATAAGTTCCTGAATATTTGCATATAAATTTGTCGTTTTTATTAAACCAGAGAAAATTCCTTTTCAAGGTACTCTTCTGGTATTCCTTTTTTGTAAAATCAAAAAACAAAACAAAATCATCTTTTAGTGTGTTTGCCATGTTTTCTAAAATAAAGTACTACCCTGGATAAATAAGGTTCTCCTGAGTAATTAAGGTCATGGGTTGACACACTTTTTTGTAAAGTTCCAGATAGTAAATATTTTAGGTTTATGGACCATACAGTCAGGTAGTCATCTCTGTTGTCATAGTGAGAAAATGGCCATAGACAGTAACACAGATTAATAAGTTTGACTCTGTTCCTATAAATTTTTATTTCTGGGTCATGACATTTGAATTTCTTATAATCTTTACATGTCACTAAATATTATTCCTTTCATCTTTTTCTAACCATTTACAAATGTGGAAACCATTCTTAGTTCATGAACTGTACAAAAACAGGCAGGGGGCTCTATTTGGCCCATGGTTTATAATCTGATGACCCCTGATCTAAATGGTCCCTGGCAGACTAGGACTTTATAAAAAGCATTTTACCCTGCTTAAAATGAGTATAGGTAGATTATCTAATGTACTGTTTAGATATTGAATTAATGCTTTCCTATATACCTTGGGATGTGTGGAGAGAGTATTATGATCAAATGGGCTGGAGATTCAGGGCTAGGAAATGTTTGATGGAGAGGTTATTTGGGCATGCCTGTATTATAACATCTCTATAACCCACATGGAGACTTTGTTAAAGGTGAGTATGCCTAACATGGCAAGCACTTAGTAAGTACATAAATGAAGGAATATCAGAATAGCTACTTACTCTAGTTTGCCATTTAGTACTTAATGTTTTCAGCAAGTAAGTAGCTATCTGTGATTCTCAATTACATTTTAAAATTCTGGCTTTATTTTACCTGACCATGCCACTAGAAATCTTGTTGTGAAATACTTTAATTGTGATAGGTCTGCTCTTGAGCAGTATGTCGAGAATATGTCAGAGGCACAACTTCATCATTATAAAGCCATATTCTCATAAATCAGAAAGTAAAAAACATTTCTCACTCTAAATGTAGGATAAATTGGATTATTATATGCAAATACACACTATAAATTAAGTCCAAATGGTATCTCATTTTTATTGTTTAATCTTGTACAGAAGTCATAATATTTAATTTCTAAATGCCAAATATTTTTCATTTACTCTGTCACATTTTCTACTACCCCATACATTTAAATACAGTGAATTAAATACAGTGAAATTGTACAAATGTACAACTAAACATATAACATGTAATATCTAAACAAAACTTGTAAAAACATAGGAAAAAAATAGACAAGTTGAAAATTTTGTTAGAAGTATTTGGTATGCCAGATTTACTGTAGCATGTGTCCATAAATTGCTGTTGCATTTGTAATACCTGTTTTTAACATAGGATATTTGGTTGTAATTTATACCAAATATGTGAGAAGCTGTGAGATTTGCCATTTATAGGTTACTTTGTGAATATATTTTTAATGAAAAATTTAATAAAATTTGCTATTAAAAGTCAGTGAAATTCATTTTAGAGACACTTTTTGTAAAGCTTGCTTCTAAGGTATTTTAAAAATACACACGATTTTAGTTTTAGGCTCTAAATTGCTCTTATCGATATAGACCAAAGAAGGCAAATTATGCCCTGTCTGCCAAATCTAGCCTTCCTCTAGTTTGGTTGAAAAAAAAATCAAAAGAAGAGTAATTCATGACACATGAAAATTTATCCAGATTTTCTGTGTCCATAAAGTTTAATTTGAAATACAGTTACACTCATTCATTTATATATTATCTGTGGCTGCTTCCTTGCTACAGTGGCAAAGTTGAGTAGTTACATTAGAGACCATACAGCCCACAAGCCTAAAACATTTACTGTTTGGCACTTTACAGGTAAAACTTAGCCAACCCCTGATCTAAAAACTACTGTTCTCTGTTTCCAAAAGTTATGATTATAAAGCTTTTTTATATCATTGTAAAGTTTTAACACTATAGTATTCCCAGTAAGTTATCTTAAACACTAAACATGTGGAAAAATATTTTAAATTCACATTTGAGTCTTTTGAAAACTGATGTAAAAGGTGGGATAGGGTCCAGATTTTTTGTTCTGAATACAAACAATATAGTGAGATAGACTAATTTTTTAAATACATATATTTGTATACGATATTGCCCGAGAAATATTAGGGATTGCTCTGAGGAAAATATTAAAGAATAGTTAGTTATATTATAAATTTTACCATGGAGTGTAATGAAGTAAGTCCTACTGTATTTCATTTGACTTGTCATGATTGACAGTTAAATTTTTTAAGGTAAAGAAGCTTAGAAATACCTGTAAGACTTTAACTGTCTTTTAAATTTCTTCCTTATAATGGTGACTGTCAATTACAACATAATTAGAGTTATCCTGGACATTTTGTAGTGTCTGTAGGTTCTACATTAGAATTACATGGGATAAGTTATGCACAAGCTTAAAATTGCAGTTTCCATTTTTGGTAATGTTATTTGCTTATTATGCTGTTTAGGCATCTTTTCTTCCATGTAAATTAAAAAATTTTCTAAGACGTTGATGCATTAAAAGCATCTTATCAAAAAACTGTATTTCATAAATTGCAATCACCAATGAATAGCCTATCTTTTTTTTTCCATTTTGCTATTTTTTTTTAATAGTCATGTGGTCAGCCAACGGTTATAATGGATAAATAAGCTTGTCTAAGTATCACAGCTCAAACACAGGTTTCACACTTTTTTCTTTATCTTATTGTATCCAATTTGTGCTTTCTTTCTGATTGTAGACCTTGCTTGCATGTACAAGTTATTTAGTCGTGTGCCAAATGGTTTGAAAACAATGTGTGAGTGTATGAGTTCCTATTTGAGGGAACAAGGTAAAGCCCTTGTTTCTGAGGAAGGAGAAGGAAAGAATCCTGTTGACTATATCCAAGTAAGTGAGCACAAAACATTCTCTTTAAGTTCATGATAAAGTCATTTTAACAACTGCTAAAAAGATCACTTTTACTAAGCTTTGTATTATGTACTTTCAACTTAATTTTCCCAGTGGTAAATTAATATGTATAATTATCCTAAGTACCTTAGAATTTTGCAAGGTGTGCATATGTATATCAGGGAGCCAAACTCAGCTGCTGCTTTTCATTTTATTAACCTCTCAAGTAGTACTATAAATAAATTACACTCCAAGTTGTTCACATTTTAATTTAAATAATCAGCTCTTTCTGTGTATTTTTTAAAGCTAATTATCTCTCTGGTTAATCCATTCAGCCAAGACAGAGGAGAGTGAGGAGAAGCAATGAGGAGGTTCTTTGGTCTGCAATATATTAATCCATATGTGGAAGATAAAATACTTCTCTCATCACTGACATTTTTAATATGGGTTAGATATAGGGTTGAAAGTAATAATGTAGAATCTGTAAGTTTAACACTGAAGACACGTTTATTACCAGCAAAGTTAAGATAAATGTACGTGGTCGAACATGGTATTGTTTATATAAATTATTCTATGATGTATCCTAAATTTTTTTTGTTTTCGTTTGTAAGGGATTATTGGATCTGAAGAGTAGGTTTGATCGCTTCCTCCAGGAATCATTTAATAATGACCGGCTCTTTAAACAAACTATTGCTGGTGACTTTGAGTATTTTCTCAACCTCAACTCCAGGTCTCCCGAATACCTCTCATTATTTATTGATGATAAGCTGAAAAAGGGAGTCAAAGGGGTAAGTAGTAATGCATTTGAAAATACATTAAATTTATTTGTAGGTATAAGATTGTGTATAAAATTAGGAAATCAGATGCAAGATTAGGAAATTTCATAGAAATAAAATAAAGCATAACCCTTTGCTGTGTGCTTAAATGTGTGCTGTGATCTATTAAAAAGTATTGTTTAAAGTATTTAACATGATCAAAAGTACTTTGACGTTCCACGTAATGCATAATTGGCATCAAAAACAAACTAAGCAGCTATAGTTTTGAACAGTTGTCTTTATGACTTTGAGAGTTAAGTGTGCTGTAAATAACAAAAAACTAGAAAATAACTCTCCAGTAATACAGAATGTTGCTTGATCTTACCTGATTCTGGAGGTTATATATCAAACAATTCTTGGATACCAAGAATTGGAAAGCATAGATAGAAGAACAGCTCTTATAAATTAGTTTGAAAGCATATACTAAAACTCAATTTCATGCGTTTATTGTATCTCTGGGACCTTGGAAACTCACTGCAGCATAGAAAGTCAAGTTAAGCATATTTTAATCACGTATGAATTGGTGTTTTTTGACATCATCTTGGATTTTGTGAGACAAAAGGGAAAAGCAACAAATAGCCACAGGTTTTACAGGCAGGAGCTGTAACAACGAAACAAGATAAGTGAGGATGCACCGAGTAGAAAAGACTATTAATTACACATCCTTTTGATCTTCTGTTTTTTAAAATATAAGCTTAATACAGCCTGCCACAGTAGCATCTTACTATTATTTAAAAGATAAGGGCAAGGGGCATTTTTACTGTTTGAGTTATAATAAATTATTCTCATTCTGTTTATAAAATGTAGATTTTGAATGAGCTTAAATGAGAAGATCTGTCTTTCCGTTTAGCAGATAACTGATCTGCTGGTGTCGTTTCTTTAAATGTCATTAGTGACAGCTTACGTATTGTCTGTGAGTACTTAAATTATTTCCCCCATTTAATCTCTTTTTCTGACTGTTTACATGTTAAAACTTTTTTTTTTACTATTTTAAAATTTAAATTATCCTCCCCTTTGAAGGTACATACTGAAAATTTAATAAATAGAATTATTCTGTTGTCATAACCATTATAGAATGTGGGAAGAATCCTGGGCATAGACAAGTTTACTGCATTTCAGTACTCTTCTCTTCACTTTACCCCTGGATTGTGTTATCTTGGGATAGTTACCTGACCTTCGTGTACTTCCATGTTCTCATTCTCATCTGTAAGGTCAGCATAAGTGGGCCTCACATCCTAAGGATAGGTGGGGATGAACTGAGACTATAAAAGTCAGAAATTAGTGTGTTATAAATGTGATGTATAGTTTGCTCCCAAAAGGTGGTATGCTGGAACTTTCATAGCTTTGGTGTCAAGTAGGTGTTTGTTTCGTGAGCCTTTAACAAAGTTCATATCAAAACAAAGAATTTTCTTTTTTTTTCTTTTTTTTTTTTAACTGTTTTTCAACTTAAGTTTAGAGAATTCCGTAAAGAGTCTTAAAAATTTTCTAAGTGATCACATACCACTATACAGTTAAGGTATGTCATAACCATTAACAAACTGAAGGTGTTTCCTTTGGTATTTAAATATGAGATTATCACTTCTTCTGGTCTCAGAGTCCCATCACAAATAAGATATGTGATAATACCTAATTCTGTGGAATAGACATTTATATGTATGTTAAGATATTTTGACTCCATTATAGGCAATTGTATGATTTGCCTCATAAATTACAATGTTTACAGTGGAGAAGGGCTAGATTATCCTAGATTTTTTTTCAGTTTCCTTTTTAGATTGTTTCGGGATTTGAACTTAAATCTATCTAATACATTGATACAATTATATTTTTATATAATTTTTATTTGGTATAATAATTTTCTTCTGTTCATTTTTTTCCCTACAAATCTTACACATATTGAGAGTTAGCAGGATATAACCTAGTGTGAATGAATACTCTGTTGAAACCATCTGTAAGGGATTGTTTCTGGATGGGCTAACTATCCTTTACTATTTTTCTAAGGGTATAAATACCATTTGTATGAAAGTTAAGGCCTTTTTATAAGAAAAATATGGTCTTTACTCTTGACCACCCTATTGCAATTGTTTCATTAAGAAAAAAAGGCCGATTGGTCAACATGGTGATTTCATTGATTCTGTTTGCCTTTGTTGTTTGCTGCTGTTGTAGTTTGTTAATTTTTCATAGTCTTTCATCTTGGTAATTATTCAGATACGTCCTCTACTCTGTGATAGATTTTTGTTTAATAATTTGTTAATAACTATAATAAGTAGTGTACTTACCAAGATTCTGAGTAATTTATCTGCTAATACATTTTCAGCATAGAGGACTTACCAAGATTCTGAGTTGTTTATTGGCTAATACATTTTCAGCTTCCACTTACTGTAAAGCCATTATTTGCATGCAGTTATTGCCCTTTTTATAATAGTTTATGCTAAGGACCTTAAGCTTTGAGTCCCCTAAACCTTAATTTACATTAGAAGGTTTGATGAGAAATGACAGGATAAGCAAAACAAATCTTCAGTTTTCTCAGTTTTTGAACTCTTAAAATATTTCCAATCCTCAAGGAGAAGATTCTCTGTAACTCTTAAGGTTCTTGGCTTATTAAATATACCAAGACAGTGGTTCTTTCATTTACTTTTAGGAGTTATAGAACAAGTACTTTCTTAACATCCTAATAATACCTGTGGTGTATTTTATTTAGACAAATCTTATTTATTGTACTACAAGAAATCTTAAGTATTTGTCCTTTTTTTTTCTGTGTTTTTATTTTTCAAACAGGGCTGGGGCACAAAAGCCACCTTGCCATTATATTTCTATTTATTTATGTTAGCAAATCATATGCTATTCTGATAAACTCTTCTGCCAGGATCATCTTCTGTGCACCTACCTGCCCCTGTCATGTGCTATTTTTGAATTTAAGCTGACTGATTTCAAAATACTACTGAAATGGCTAGGAAGAGGAGACACTAACCACCAGACTAATGGTTTTTTTGGGTTCTCTCCCCCACCCCAATTTAACAATTTATTAAGTGCTTTCTGTGCCAAGCATTGTTCTAAACATTGGGAATATAGCAGAGAATGGAACAGAGAAAAATCCCTGGCTTGATGGAGCTTACATTCTAGTCAGGTAGAAAGAGATGATAAACAAGACAAGTATATACATAGCTGTAGAGCAAATATGTAGCAGGAAAGAGTGGTCAGGGAACACATTATTTAAAAATTGACATTTTGAGGAGAGACTTGAAGGAGATTAGGGACTTTGTCTTTTCATCTTTAAGATTATAGTAGATCCCATGACATGTATAAGGGTTGGACAGATTGACCAAGTTGTGACCCCCCTGCTCCCCAACTTGCAAGTGTACAAACCATTTTCCACCTTTCCTGGTGCATCATCTAAGAGTCTCTGCTATGATCCTCTCTTCTGTGCATCATCTAAGATTTTTAGTTTCAATTTCTGTAAAGTGGAGTAATTGTTTAGTAAGATACATGTGAAGAAATCTGTGTGTGGAATGCTTCTTGATATTTATAAACTCACCCCTTCTTTAAAAATCTATATCCCTGAATCATCCAGGTTAGATAAAAATGGAATAATAGTTTATAAAAGTTGTGAATTTCAATAATGAAGATAACATTTCATCCTTAAGAGTTCCCGTTGATGTGTTTTATTATTTTATTAAAAATTTAATGTTTAAAAGGAAGAAAATACTTAATTGTGACAGTGATGCTAGCATACATTTTGTAGAAGTAGTCATCCATTATAGAAATATTTTTAGAGCACTTGCTGTGTAGCACCGGATCATCTACGGTGTCCTAGGCAGAGCTTGTTATAAGGTGAGCTACATGTTAAAACATGAAAGTTTTGGTAAATGAAATTGAAATGTGGGTGGGGTATTAGAATTATGTCATTTGTATGTTAAGATGTTAAAAATCTTTAAAGTCTGAGATGAAAGATATTATCCTAGAATTTTTTTCTAAAATGATACTGATACGTGACCCCTTGACATTTTATCTTAAAAGCGTAAAAACTAAAACTTTTCCGTTCTCAGTGATACCAGTTAAACTTTATTCACATGCTAAGAATTATCCTTTGATCAGTATTTTTAAGTAAGCATCTTAAGCTGTAATTTTGCTGTTTCCCAAGATAGTTAAAATTTGGAAAACACTGGATAGATCTAACCTTTAAGAACATCTGTTTTATTTATTAGATGTTGGACATTGATCTAACTTCTTTGATAAACCTAACAGTGTCTAGACAGAACAGGTAACAAATCCTAGTTAATTTGGGGGGAATATATTTTTCTGTTTTATTTAGGTATCTTTAGGTGGTGTTGATCTCACAGTCCGGGTGCTCACGACAGGATATTGGCCCACTCAGTCAGCCACACCAAAGTGCAACATCCCACCCGCCCCAAGGCATGCTTTTGAAATATTCAGAAGGTAAACCTAAGTCAGACTTTGTATTTCTAAAACAACTGTCCAAATTTGAAAAAAGTTTGAATATTAGTTGTGTCTCTCATTGAGGATGAATATACTCCTTTTCTCTTTACTTCCTGTGTAAAAGGAGATTTTATTCTTTATACTTTTTATATGTGAGAATGACTAGCATGAAACTCTTTTCAGACGAATATTTTATTAACGTCCGTCAGCATTAGTGCATGGTTAGGAGTATATATTGTACTGTTGATGTCTGCCGCTGGCTCAGGATAAATTGATTATTGGGTCGCTATGGAGAAAGATGGTTTTACAAACAGCAGGGGCTGAGCAGGGAGCTGGGGCAAAGTGTACAGGAGGAATTACTTACCATGCTGCCTTTATCATTTACTATCTAGCTAAGTTGCTTAGGGGTCTCTGTGTCTCTCTCCTGCCCCTTCCACCCCCCATTTCCTCATATGTAAAAAGTTGGAACTGAACTTAATCCCTAAAGTTTCCTTTAACTTATAAAGTCTCTCTTAAACATAAGTTTGTTAAGGGTTGTTAACCTGTGATTTGTAATTTCAAATATGTTAAAGTATTTGATTCTCTAAAACCTGGTTTGATTTGCTGAAGGTTCTACTTAGCCAAACACAGTGGACGACAGCTCACACTCCAGCATCATATGGGTTCTGCAGATCTCAATGCTACCTTTTATGGACCAGTTAAAAAGGTAAATAATTGATAGCTTGAACATATTAAGTAACATCAAATTAGTCTGTAGAATTGATAGGTAATTTTTGTTCCCCTGGGTGATTTATTTATCTCTCTTACTTCTCTCCTTGTCTCAAATATTAAAAAGATTAAAATCTTGGCTTTGATTTATTACTTCAAATTTATTACTTCAAATTTCATTTAAAAATATGAGAACTATACCAGTAGCCTTCCTAAAGGAATAAATACTATTAGGATAATTATACATTTTATTTATGAGATTAGACGTGAGACAGTATTGTATAAAATAGTAAAATGTAAGTTGGTTTGAATGCATACAAAGCTGTGAGCTTCTTTTGAGAATTCTGTCTCCTGTAATCCTTATTTCCGATAAATCAAAATTGAGAAAATTAATACTTGAGATTCATAAGATGTACAAATGTTACTGAAGTCATTTAAACAATTAGTAGTGCACCAATGATTTGCCTTCATTTAAAAAAAAGTAATTGCTCTTTTATTTCTAAAATTGTGAAGTCTAGATTAATAACTTATTTTCATTACTTTGTATGAATTAAATCAGGGTCATTTGCCTTAGAATCAAAAAATAATGAAAGGCTAAAGAAAAATACCTAAGCTGTCATCTAGGCAGCAAATAAATTTTATTTTAGATTTTAATTAGAATCTTAATAGTTTTATATGATGAGTCTATATAAGTTTATATCACCAAAGTTGTTTCTTTAGTGTTGTTGAAAATGTGTGTAAATATTCTAATTTTTATATTTAATTAAATGGGAAATGGTCCTTAACAATTCATTTTTAATTAGAATCTTAATAGTTTTATATGATGAGTCTATATAAGTTTATATCACCAAAGTTGATAATATTGGACAATAATTGAATAATATTGGACACTATTAAGTGTAAGTGGGAAGGTAAAGGAGACTAAAAAACTCAGCTTTTAATTATTGTTTGTTTTTGTTTTAAAGGAGGGGTTTTCTAAATAATCATGTTCTCTCTTGAAGATGTATTAGGCAGATCAGTAGGTTTTTTAAAACATGATGCGTACGTTAATCCTTGAAGACTTAAAGCTCTACTTTGTACCTTTTAAATCATAAAGCAGGAACAGGCTTTGAGAACGTCAGTTCCCCCTCGTGCTATGTTATTTTTTGATATTTTACTGTGATTAGATTACACAAAAAGAACCTAACCCTGTTACTTTTGGTGTTAGTGTAGTGGCAGTGGTGTATCATAAGTCTATTATCATCCCATTAATACTGCTGAAATAATTTTAGCTTTAAATATAGAGAATTGTTTATTACTTGCTCGGATACATTAAAGTGTTCACGATGGGGTAAAAACGGGTACAGTCCTAAATACTCTGTGTATGTGTACACGTATACATAGGTACACACACTTTTAATAGATTTCCTACTAAATCTGTTACTCAACAGATTTAATAAGTTGTGTAGTTTATTTGAAGGGGGATGGAAATTGTAAGACTTATTTCTGAAACAAATTGTTAAAGTTACCAGGAGATAATTATAATCTTGTTTATATTTTTTAAAAAATGACACAGGAAGATGGATCTGAAGTTGGTGTTGGAGGTGCACAAGTAACTGGCTCTAACACACGGAAGCACATATTACAAGTCTCCACTTTCCAGATGACCATATTAATGCTCTTTAATAATAGAGAAAAATACACATTTGAGGTAAGAGTTGTGGTTATATACATTTTAACCAACTGTATTATTTCTCTCACTTGTTGATTGAGTCTTTCTTATTTGAGTAGCCTTTAGAGAGTCTCTTTGAATAATACCTTTAGAGAAAACTGCATCATGGCCATAATGGGCCATTATGGGCTTTGGAACTCTGCAAACATTATTCATTTATTGGGCCATGTGTTATTTTGTTTTTGTTTTAAATCAACTTTATTGAAGTATAATTTTCATGTAATAAAACATACCCCATTATAAGTGCACGGTTTCAGGAGTTTTAAATGTGTGTACCTGTGAAAATTTCCGTGACAATCAAGAGTATTTCCAAAAAATATAGAATATTACCCTCAAAATTTATTTGTATCCCTCTGTGATTTCTTCCCACCACCCTTAGTCCCAGGCAGCCAATGATCTACTTTATATCACTATAGATTAGTTTTGTTGTTTTTAGAAGTTCATATAAATGGAAGTATATGTGTTTTTGTGTCCAGTTTCTTTCATATAGCACAGGGGTTTTGAGATTCACCCGTGTTGTTGTTACACGTATAGTATCAATAGTTCATTTCTTTTTACTTCTGTGTAATATTTTATTGTATGAATGTGCTGCATTTTCTTTATCAGTTCCCCTGTTGATGGGCATTCAGGTTAAGAGATTTGGGCTATTATGAATAGAGTTGTGCATTTAGCTCTTTAAGAAACTGTGTCCCAAAGCAACTGTACCATTTACATTCCTGCCAGCAGTGCAAGAGAGGCCCAGTTGCTACACATCCTCTGCAGTCTTTATGTTAGCCATTTCAGTTGGTGTGTAATTGTGGATTTAATATTTCTCTTCTGGTTGACTAATTATGTTGCATTTTTTTTTTTGTTTGTATGCCACTCACATATCTTCTTTGGTGAAGTGTTTGTTCATATCTTTTTTTTTTTTTTATTAAATTGTAAAAGTTCTTTGTAAGTTCTAGGTACACATCTTTTGTCAGATATATGTGCTGTGAATATTTTTTCATTCTGTCACTTTCCTTTTCACTTGCTTAATGGTGTCTTCTGAAGAGCGGAGTTTTTTAATATTGACAAAATCCGATTAATCACTTCTCCCTTTATAGTTGGAGCTTTTGATGTCCTGATGAGTTATTGCCTACCTTGAAATTGCAAAGGTTATCTTGTATGTTTTCTTTTAAGCAGTTTATAATTTTACCTTTGGGTGTGTGATCGATTTTAAGGGTTTTTTTGTATGGCATGAGGTAAGGATTAAGGTTTATTTTCCCCACATACAGAGTCAGATGTTTATTACATCATCATCTGTTGAAAGCATTATTTTTTTCTCATTGAGTTACCTTGGCACCTTTATAAAAAACATCAGTTGATTATATATGGATGGCTAGGGCCGCCTGTAGCGGTGCTGATTATGTATGGATGGGTCTATTTCTTTGCTGTCTGATCTATTTCTTTGATTGCTGTGTCTATCCTTATGTCAGTTTTGCCCTATCTTGATAGTGTAGTCCAGTTTCTTTTTATACCCACAGCATTTTTTTCTTTAGATTAACAAATTACTGTAATATGCCTACTTTATTTTTTTTCCTTTTTCTTTTTTCGTTAAATCATGATTTGATTACATTAAATTCGGTTATTAATCTTTTTCTGTACCTTTAAAGGGTGTCGGGGTTGAAATGAAGATCATGTGATTCTTAAGTTTAAATTTAAGGTAATGAATGAACATTTCATAAGGTTCTAAAATTACTGCCATATTTATGTTTTCAGATACCCGGGAACATAGGAAGAAAAAAGTGTTGTTAGAAATAAAGAGCAAGAACATTAGATTCTAGGTCTATTTTAATATTCATCTTCATGCTACCATTTGTGAATATAATTAAGAAATTACCATTTTTATGTGATATACTTAAAAGTAAATGTTTTGAATCCTAGGTGTTGTAGTTCAGTGGCTAAGTCAAAATGTTTTTCTTGCATATATTTCCAGGTGGGTTTTACCTAGGGAATAACTTTAATTGTCAAGCACAAGGTATATATGATTGAGTCCCAAGAATATTGATTAAGCAAGCATTGAGCACCTTACTTAGACGTTATAATGCTTTTCAAACAGAGGTAGAACTAAATTGTCTCTAACAGATGGTTTTTTATAGGTATTTTTAATCTGTAGCTCTCACAGGTAATATATTTTATGCAAAATAAGCCACTTGATGAATGCAAAAGTTGGTCTTCAGAGTTCTAATTTATAAAGAACTAGCAAAAATAATGGGGGTAAGCAAAAACGTAAATTCATTTTCCAAAGCCATTACTGGAATTGTTAGAAATTTTAGTGGTTCAAGCTTACTTTCCTCTTTTCCAACCAGCTTGTGATCATTGATGCTAATAAGCATTTATTAGTAGAAGGTAAAATTAAGCAGAAAATTCCTCTAATTTTTCAAATTTTAGCTAAGTCACAACCAAGAAGCCTGAGCACTTGTTTGTGTGTATAGAAAGCCATGCCTGTGGTTCCAGAGCCTTCTGACTACTCACACCTTACCTGGGACATTGTGATAAGCACTTGCAGTTTATCTTTACTTGTACCATATGTTTCTATTCAGTCTGCTGCTTAAGCTCTTTTACGGAAATCATCTCCACAAATTAGAAGATTGGTAATTTTAAAAGAAACTGATCTTTTATCTTTGAATATTCCTTATGAGTTCAGTAAGATGGTACATTAGTTATTTAATGTCACATGTCAAATCTCAAAACTTAGTAACTTTTTTTTTTTTTAAAGATGACTGGTAAGGGGATCTTTTTTTTGTTTTTATTTTTTAGCCCAACCTTTTATTTATTTATTTATTTTCTTTTTCTCTCTCTCTCTCTCTCCCCCCCTTTCTCTCTCCTTTCTTTCTTTTTTCCCTTCCCTTCCCTTCCTTCTTTCCTTATTACAAATATTCATGACATACAAAGCTGATCGTCCCCCCTCCTGCCCATGATGTGGGGCTCAGATTCATATTGGGGGCATACCTTTTGTCCCCTCCCAATTATCCCCTAACCTCCTTCCCCCTCCCCCTCTCCCCTCAACTACAATTTGTAGCCCTAGGAATGTTCCCTCCCTGTGTTGGATCATGGCAGTACTGTGGTCTTTCTTTCCTTCCTTCCTTTCTCTCTTAGCTCCCACATGTGAGTGAGCACATGAGGTATTTATCCCTCTGTGCTTTGCTTTTTTCACTCAACATAAGTTTCTCCAGGTTCATCCATGTTGTTGCAAATGGGAGTATTTCATTCTTTTGTATGGCAGAGTAGTATTCCATAGTGTATATATACACCATAGTTTCCTTATCTAATCATCTATTGATAGACATTTAGGTTGGTTTTGTATCTTGGCTATTGTAAACAGAGCTGCAGTAAACATGGGAGTGCAGGTATCTCTTCGACATATGATTTCCATTCCTCTGGATATATACGCAGAAGAGGGATTGCTGGATCGTAAGGAAGATCTATCTGTAGTTGTTTGAGAAACCTCCAAATTGTTTTCCAAAGTGGTTGTACTAATTTACAGTCCCACCAACAGTGCAGTAGTGTTCCCGTCTCTCCACACCCTTGCCAGCATTTTTTTATTCACTGTCTTTTTGATTATAGCCAGTCTAACTGGAGTGAGGTGGTATCTCATTGTGGTTTGAATTTGCCTTTCCCTGGTGACTTGTGATGTTCTGCATTTTTTCATGTATCTGTTGGCCATTTGTATGTCTTCCTTTGAAAAATGTCTATTCATCTCCTTTGCCCATTTTTTAATTTGGTCATTTATTTTTTTATTGTATAATTGCTTGAGTTCTATGTATATTCTGGATATTAGTCCCTTGTCAGATGCATAGTTGGCAAGAATTTTCTCCCATTCTGTAAGTTGTCTTTTCACTCTGTTGATTGTTTCTTTTGCTGTGCAGAAACTTTTTAGTTTAATATAGTCCCATTTGTTTTTTTTGTTTTTTTTTTCTTTTGCTGCTTGTGCTTTCAGGTTCCTGTTCATAAAGCCTGTTCCCTGACCTAACTGCTGAAGTGTTTCACCTATATTTTCCTTAGTAATTTTACAGTTTTGGGTCTTATACCTAGGTTTTTAATCCATTTTCTTATACCTAGGTTTTTAATCCATTTTGAGTTGATTTTAGTGTATGGTGAGAGACACGTATCTATTTTCATTCTTCCGCATATGGATAACCAGTTTTCCCAGCACCACTTGTTGAAGAGGCGATCTTTTCCCCAATGTAGATTTTTGTTGCCTTTGTCTAATATCAGATGTCTATAAGCCTGAGGAGTGATTTCTGGGTTCTCTATTCTACTCCACTGGTCTGAATGTCTATTTTTATTTTTATTTTTTACCAGTACCATGCTGTTTTGGTTACAACAGCTTTGTAGTATAATTTGAAGTCAAGCAGAGTTATGCCTCTGGCTCTGTTTTTTTTGCTCAGGATTGCTTTGGCTATTTGGGGTCTTTTGTTTTTCCATATGAAAGGTAAGATTGTTTTTTCCATTTCTGTGAAGAATGTCCTTGGTATTTTGATGGGGATTACATTGTATCTGTAGATCGCTTTGGGTAGTATAGACATTTTCACAGTGTTAAATTCTTCCAATCCAAGAGCATGGAATATCTTTCCATCTTTTGTGTCTTCTTTAATTTCTTTCAGAAGTGGTTTGTAATTCTCATTGTAGAAGTCTTTCATCTCCTTGGTTAAATTGATCTCTAGGTATTGTATTTTTTTAGTGACAATTGTAAATATGCTTACTTTATTTCTCTTTCTGTTAATTCATTATTTGAGTATATAAATGCTACTGATTTGGGGGCATTTATTTTGTATCCTGCAACATTACTGAAGTTATTAACTAGCTCTAGGAATTTTTTGATAGAGTTCTTAGGTTTTTCTATATATATTATCATGTCACCTGCAGATAGAGAAAGTTTGACTTCATCTTTTCCAATCTGGATTCCCTTTATTTCTTTCTCTTGCCTGATTGCTGTAGCTAGTACCTCCAGTACT